ATACACACACACGTGTATATATACACGTGTGTGTGCGCATATATACAGTATGTATGTATGTGTATATACTGTATATGCGTATAGTATATGTATATAAGTTAATTTAAAGAAAAATTAATTTTAAAGTTAATTTTTCTATGTGAAAAATTAACAATCATTCTGATTCACAATGAAAAGTCAAATAAACTGTCGAGTTCTTAATCCCTCAAAAATACAGCCGTCAGAACATTTTATTTTCCTTAAAACGTTAATCAGATAAAGAGAGATCAGTTTTATTTTACAGAGACAGTTTCAACAACATCCACCAAGTCCGGTTTGACAGAAACAAGCCATCAGAAAGACCCCACCCCTCTGAGACCATCAGGGTAAAAACTGCACATCAGCTGAAGGTTTCAGCCTTTAAAGCTACAGGTGTTCTGAAGTAAACATGTTCTAACTGTTGCACTGATGGAGGAGGGCTGCAGGTGAAGAGTCCAGCAGCTGCAGGTGAAGAGTCCAGCAGCTGCAGGTGCACGGCTCCACGCGGCGGCAGTGGTTTTACGCCATGCTGCAGGGAGAGAGGACAAACAGAAGGTAAACATCCAACCTGCAGCACATGATTTGTTTGAGAGCGCTGCAGGGTCCAGGTGTCACCTGTCGATCAGAGAGTCCCTCATGCTGGTGGCGATGGCGGAGGGCTGCGACGAGTCGCTGAGTCGGAACACGCTCTCGATGACGGACAGCTCGGTGCTGGTGGTGTCCAGGCCGCAGAACGCGCACCAGTCGTTCACCACCATCCCCGCCGCGATCACCTCGCTGCCCCGGTTCACGGTACCTGCCTGCCAACAGGCAACCAATCAGATCACAGAACGTCAGCCGGGTTCTGAAACCCCAGACCCCCGCCTGAGCCCACTCACCACCAGAGGGACCTGCAGCAGAGACGACAGCTCGTCCTGGTCTTCGATGGACGTCTTCGGGTGGACCAGGCCTCCCTGGTTGCTGAACGCGCAGTAAGAACCGACCAGGACCTGCTCCGCCACCGTCTGACGGAACACCTCCACCTTCAGAGTGTCTGCGAGGATCTCCTCCGTCTCCTGAGGACCACAGGGTCAGCAGCTGTTAGCTTGTTTGGATCCAACCACTTCAGCTCCGAACAGTTAGCTTTAAGACCCTAATGCTAACATCGTTAGCTTCTATTCCAGTCTGGATCTAACAAGTACCTTTAAAAGATGCTAACGCTAACATCTTTAGCTTCTATTCCAGTCTGGATCTAACAGGTACCTTTAAAAGATGCTAACGCTAACATATTTAGCTTCTATGCTAGTCTGGATCTAACAGGTACCTTTAAAAGATGCTAACACTAACATCTTTAGCTTCTATGCTAGTCTGGATCTAACAGGTAACTTTAAAAGATGCTAACACTAACATATTTAGCTTCTATTCCAGTCTGGATCTAACAGGTGTGTCGGATCACGGCCTCACCCTGTCCAGGTCGGGGTGAACCAGAGCCACGTAGTCGTTGCAGGCGATGACGTTCCCGAGAGCAGAAAGCCTCTCCTCCACCCTCTGGATCCTGACGGCGTCCGGCAGAGAGTTCCTGATGTGCTGCAACTCCTGGTCCGTGGTGTTGTTGGGAACCAGGAGGCCGTGACGGTTACCTGAAGGCAGCAGAGCGGCAGGTTCCTTTAACGAGACGCTAACGAGGGAGGGCTCGTTAAGAGCTGAGGAGACGTTTCACTCACCGACGCACAGCCTGCCGATGATACGACAGCCGGCGATGGAGGCGTGGACCACCGGGATGGTTTCTGACAGCTCCCCTTCAAACACGCTGCACGCACGCGCACACACACACACACACACACACACACAC